GCGTTCTCAACACCCACCGCTCGACCGACGTCAAAACCGGTATGGCATCGAGCCGCGCGCCCTCTAGCGTTAGTTCCTGAAATTAGCGTTTGGTGCGAACAACGTGGAAGTAATAGATTCCATTATTGTTTCCGTTACAGCTTCTGAAAAATCCACTCTTGAACATAGGCTTCCTCCATGGAATGAATCAAAGGCGGCATACTTACCATAGTTGCCACGCTTGGCTTCTTTATTTTAGCTGTTATCAGGAAGACAGTGCTATCTATCTCCTAGTTTGTTTCCCTATGTCGCCTCTTATGCAAGGGGCGATATCATTTGCGACATGTGATAAGTATTATACAATCATAAGTAACACATGAAGAAGCTTGTGCTAACTGTTATGGCAAAAGGACGTTCCAATACTACATTTCAGCCCTTCACAAGTCCACTGCTGAACATAGGCCTCTCTCAAGGAATGCCACAAAGCACGGTCCTGAGCCACCTGCATCCATCGACTTCCTGCATATATTACCAGGTCGTCACTCCATCTAGTGGGGGGACGCCCAACACTTCGCCTGCCGGTACGAGGCTGCCACTCGATAACATTTTTTCCTTATCGCTTGTCGGTTCTTCGAACTATATGGCTGGCCCATTGCCACTTTAGCTTACTAATCCGATGGGCTATGTCGATCACTCTTGTTCTACTGCGGATACCCTCATTTCTAAGTTTATCACGCTGAGAAACCCCGAGCATTGCCCTCTCCAAAGCTCGCTGAGCGACCTTGAGCTTACTCATACGGCCAGCAGTGGAGGACCACGTCTCAGATCCATAAGTCATCACTGGCAACACGCTCTAGTTGTACAGTCTCGTTTTCAAGTTTTGAGGTATACCTGCCGAGAGAATATGTCGTAATTTCCCAAACGCTGCCCAGCCGAGTTGAATCCGGTGATTGACCTTTCGGTTGAAGTTTGACTTACCTAGTCGGACTATTTGTCCCAGGTATACATAGTTTTCCCATTAACTACTGGCATAGGTATGATATGGACGTTACACATGATCTTTGTTTTGTCCGTGTTCATCTTAAGACCTATCCGTTGGGAGGCACTATTGAGGTCGTTGAGCATAGTGCATAGTCCAGCGATTCTGCCATAAGTATGTACTCGCCATTGATGTTTATACTGTATCCTTTCCAGTCCAGTAGCTTGAAAACGTCTTCGTCGCAGATCCATCTTTCAATGAAACACGTGAAATTAACTTCATTAATGTAGATATTGGAATATTCGTATTTTTACTTGTAAATAATTGTTTAAAAATAAATTATAATTGGCCAGTGTTCCACATGTGAAAGGATCAGGTTTAATATAATATAATAATAAATAAAGTACTCTTTTTACGTACGACAAAGCCTTACCCTTACACAGAACACCAGCGTAAAATATCAGGATGTGACTGCTCTGATTTGTATATAGTGAGCTATGAAAAGTGAGAACCGAAAACCATATAGAAAGTCTTTTAAGTAGTGTCTTATGCTAAAGTTCAAAGTGACCATAAGAAAGTGTAGATCCCATATTTTTTTAATAAGTTCCATAAACGAGGTGAAAACAAATTTATGTTTATTGTTGCAGTGGTTTAAATTAAAAAAAATAACTACGAGGAACAGTAATCTTATTTATTGAGAAACGCATAATACTGTGTTCTCATAAGAACGTCGAAAATTTAGGTTGCTTAAGAAACGGTGTTCGAGTTTCGAAATGTAGTAGTAAAAGCATGGACGTATAAAAAATCATGAGTAAAAGTATGGCTGTACTTGGTATTTGGTTTGCAAAGTTTTTGAATTAAAACGGCTATAATATGACTGTACAAACGAACTACTGACCGACGACGAATAATGATTTGATGGTAAGTGGCTATTGAAAACGGAGCATAACATTGCAAAACAACGTATTTGGTGAACATTTTGGAGTTCAACCCGAGGCAGCTCGGTGGATTCTTCCCTTCTCAAAAACTGCTAGAAACTAGAGCAGACTTATGTCCAGCTGTGTGATGCTATAAATCTGTTACTTTACTTCAGTTACTTTATTATCTATTATCCATTTAAGTAATTTTATTTGGTGGAGGGCTCAATTATATAAAACTTATAAATATATATAATAAAACTGCGAAGGCTGGTGCTTTCGCTAGGTCACTTTCTTAAGGTATATGGTCTCTGACGATTTTCAGTGGTTGGAGAGGCTGGTTCTAGTGGTATATCCGTAAGGGTTTCCGTGGGTTATTACCGTTACCGTTTATCGTTTATCTAGTTAATACATATATATATATATATATATATATATATATATATATATATATATATATATATATTAATATATAGTTACCGTTTATCCACCCTAAAAATCCGCTCTAGGGTACATACTCGGAAACTCGTGTTCAGCTATGCTTCCCAGACGGGGGTGGATTATCGGAATTCATTTTTATTTGTTCTTCCTCAGTTTTAAACGTGGTAGAGCTATGCTGCAGCTATATTACTGGTATAGTTGTAGTACGAATGGGTCGGCTCGACCGGGGAAGGACCACCCTCTCACAGAATACCAGCGTAAAATAGCAGCATAACGCTGCTGTGTTTCGTATGGTGAGTGTAGAGAACCGGAGACCCTTTTTACTGGAAACGAGGCATTCCATCTTAGTCCTCACGGGTGACAACGCATCTGCATTTTGACTCGTAATCGAGGATATATGTAGATGTCTATGGGCCACAGCAACCCCTTACCATCAGGTGGACTGTGTGCTCTTTGTCACCCTAATTGTATAAAAAAATATTATTCTTAATTATTACATTTTAATAAATAGAAACTTAATCAAAAAACATATTACGTATTGCCGTTACCGTTATTGTTACAGTCTATTAAAGTGGATGCATTACGTATTGCATTTAAATCAAATTAAACTTCCTCGTTATAAATAATAATATTGCGTAGGTGATTTAAAAATTCTGCAATATGTTCAGACAATTACTCACACTAATTTCATTATTGAGTAGACGTAATTAGATATCCTGGATAAGTCCATTAGGTACTTTTCATGTACATTTGCAATCATTTCCTAATTTTTTTTGTTACAACATATGTGTTAGCGTAGAACTGGGCGCTTTTATGCAAGTATTCCAAAAACGTTACTATTGGATATTTGTCTTTAAGTTTATTTAAAATTATTTTGTACCGAGATTCCAATGAATCTGGTTATCCTGTGAGGTACCTACTCCTTTTACTTCAGCGTTGACCTTCCAAACAAGAGGTACATATCTTTATACGAGTATTTTATAGCTAACGTCTACTAGGTATCTTGGGCTAGTTTTTATTGTTTCTATAAATGACTGTACTCAGCCGAGGGAGAAAATCGAAAGAATAATAATATATACAAATTCCGATTCGCCTATCCCCAGATGGGGTGGATAGATGCGTTTCCGAGTGTGGATAGACGGAATAACCCATTTCCGTGTTCGTTATGCATTTTCCCATAAAATATTGGCTGCTCGGTAAATAAATCATTTAGAAGAAGAGGGTTCTTTGCGTGGTTTTTCTATGGCCCGCAGTATATTGTGTGCTATATTCGGTCATTGAGTTAAATGTACTATGTACTAGAGAAGCCATTCCAAACAAAAATTGTGTCCTACTCTATGTATTCGCGCATGCGCGGGAGTAGTAGTCGCGCATGAGCGAAGACTTTAATTTGATATAAAATAAGATATTAATATAAAATAAATATAAGAATGTAGTATAAAATATCTTAATTTAATATAAACAAACATATTTCCAAATAAAATGTAATAATAATTATTTTATGGAATTCACAAATCTTTAATTTACGCAATATTTAGTTTGTATGGATTGCACTACAGTTCAGTTGAACATATTCAAAGTTCAGAATGGCTTCTCTAGTACGTAGTACATATAACTCAATGTATTCGGTTCTATTTTTAGGTAGCAAAACTGAAAACAAACTTATCCCTTGTTTAAACTGAACTATATATTTACATATTTAAAGCAACAAGCGGTTTTTATCTTCTGCTGTTGCAGCACCTGTTATTCTGTCATCTTGTATTACGGACGTTCAAGTCGGTGGTCATATGTATCCCTTGTTTAAAAATGGTACATAAAAGTGTAAGAAATTATGATTGTTTGAAGCAGGAAAGATGTTATTAATTATTATAAGATATATTTAAGCAACTAAAATTAACAAAGTGCGTGAAAATTCTAAATGTTTGAAACTTCGAAAAACTTGACCGATTTATTTTATTGGAGACCTATTGTGGTCTATCGAAACAACGTCTGTCGTAAGACCGCACAGCCGCAGTATACAAGTACAAGAGAAGGGCGGGAGACCTCCACCCTGAGGAGTCATTGCATAAATGCCTTTCGCAATTATTTTTAAATTCCACATGTGCCTCTGCGATAGCCGGTCAGTAGACCGCCACCGTTGTTCGTGACTGTGTGCCAATGAATTTTGTGGCAACTTGCTCGTGAATTTGATCGTTGCAGCGGCTTATCGTGTCTCTAATTATCTTTTTAATTTTGGCATTCATCATCATGTACATCATTCTAATATTATTTTTTGTAACTTTCTTATAATCTACATTTAAGACATTGTTTTTTTTTAAATAATTTTCATAACGTATATAAAAATGGGAACAAAATTTAAAATTATTATAAATTAAACCTATAGTTCGTTAACTTTTTTAAATATTTATAAATATAAATATACACTAATGGGTTATTTATTTCTATCTTTCTTATAAGTTTACATTCAATTCATTCAAGAAGTAATTATTAATCATATTTTATGTCCATGAATTTTGTTTTATTTTTCAGCATCAGCGCATAATCAATATTCACTTGATACATATTATAAAGTTTTGACCATTAACGCCAGTTTGTGTTCAGAAGATATGAATTTAAAAAAACAAATGAGTGCGGAAATTTAGAATTGAATTGTGTTTCACTTTTATCACATTAAGTTCGTTAAAATGCGGTCGTTTAGGAAGTTACTCTTGTTGTACATCGCTGCGCCCTTTTGGACGGAGATAAATGGGAGTTTAATCGAGTTAAACGGTAAATAATTAGAGTTATTTTAATTAATATATTTAAGCATTTTAACCCAAAACACAAAGCGTGACAAAGTCTTATATACGCGCTACAACGGTAGAGGCTCAGGACTAGCATTGGAGTCTATGGAATCAAAAAGAAAATGAAAACTGGGTTTTTAACCATAAGTAATATATAATAAAGCGCTTTGTAGCCTAATGTTCGGTTTCTACAATTAAGAAAACAAGCCATTTTTTCCATAACTGAAGACGCGACCCATAGTGAATAGATTTTTAGTCTTCAGTCTTTGAGTCTCCTTACTTTAAGTAAAACTTGAAGCAGTATTTTGTTTTATATATTGTTTTTCAATTTACTGCGTGCACTTTAAAGCACAAAAATATGAAAAGACATTTTAAGTTTAGTAACCAGGTGTAAAAGGCCGCTGCAGCCTGATCCTACAACCAACTCCAAACAACAAAGGCACTGGTGAATTGTCATCCCTGATAGTTAAGTAAGTTAAGCAAACATACAGTTCACCTGAAAGTTAATTGACTACTAGAGGCAAGGAACTACACTAGAGAACTTCAAACAAAGCTATACAGGTGCGTTGTCACCTCTGATTTACTTCATCTGAGCCTCTGAGGACTAGGTAACTGATCGAACGCCAGACCGGAACATAGTGTTATTATTAGAATTATTTATTATATATATTATCTACTTTTTACCTTTAGAATAGAATAGAATGACTTTTTATTCAATATTGGTTATTACATGATACTTATTGAAAGTAATTTTTTATTTACCACTGGTTCGGAAAATACCTCTGTCTTGGGAAGAACCAGTAAGGAACCCAGCGGGACTTTCTTTTTCAAACATATTTCACTTAACAATAATTTTGTTTATACAATTTTTAAATGAATTTTCATAGAACCAGCATGGTGGCGATCACCTTATTCCCTTTGAGTTTTTACATTCGATATGTATTGTTTCGAGAAAATATTTAATTATTTAATGATTTCATTATAAATTATATGTGAAAATAAAGATTATCTGAGCTGAACGACTGTTGTACTGTGTACTAGCCAAATTATTTTGGTTCGAGGTGCAGCAACTAGAATACTTTTTCTTTTTTACTTGTAACTTTCATGTGTTTCTAGTAAGATCTGTCTGTCTTGAATACAGTTTCCACACAGAAAGTAGCCTTCTATCAAGATAAATATTTTCATTTGGACAACTAATTTTTTTAAAGTACATAACTTTAATCAGCGCACGTTGTGCTCAGTCCAAATCTATAAGTTTTGTTTTTGTCGCACTACCCCAAACAGGAATGCAATATCTCAAGACAGACTGAACCAAGGCAATGTGTACCTCATACAAAATAATCTCGGTCACTACTCTCTCTATTATTCTTTGGGATCACATGCCTCAATGTTCGAAAGACCCATATTATGATAACATCCTAACTCTTCCATCCAACCATCAAGGTTAAACAGAGATAAACGTATGGAAGGTAGTGCAGCAAAAATAAACTAATAACAAACAAAGTGTTAACTTGCTATAAGTGTAGGCTGACCGATTTTTATTGTTGATAAATACCCTGTAACTTCACTTTATTCCACATAAAGTTGGTTAAAGTTATAAGCACGTCGCTGTGACGTCATCGGGCTTAGGTCTCATGCACGAGTACAAATATTTTTATTTTACTTGCCTACAGAAACAACGTACGCGGCCCTCCCGCCACTTTATGCTCTAGACGAGTGGAACCAATGCCAGGGCCCTGAAGACGTGTACTGCATGGTGGATGCCGTCCTGGTCTCCCGCTCACCGTCACCTTTGCTACAGTTGCTTAAGGTAAGAATAAGGTATTAAAGAAAATTATATTTCACTAAGCAGTGGCAACTCAGATGGTTAGCGCTCGCTGTAATTTTCACAGTACGCGAGCAACCCGGGTTCGATCCCCGACGGCACCAATGAAACTGTTAATTGTAATTTTTAGTGATGATTTACCACGTGCTCGGCGGAGAAGGAAAATATCGTGTGGAAACCTGCATGTCTAAGAAATAAGGAAAAAAATATTTCGAAAACATGTGAAGTTCGCCAACACGCATTGGTGCACCGCGGTGGTCACTTCCTTGCCCTAAAACCCTCTCAGAAATGAGAGGAGGCCTGTGCCCAGTAGTGGGACGTATAAAGGCTGTAACTTTTTTTAAATATCTCACTAATAGAAGAAAAAGAAGTTTCAGTCTATGTTTGTTCATAGAAAGTTTTTGAAGTAAAACTTCATTTGGCGCGACTTGAGGGTAGCTTAGATCTTTGTACAGACGGAAGCACTTAAGTAAAATCTATGGTTTTCGCATTCATAACATGGGCAGCGACTGACTTTAGTGTTCCGTCGTTAAAAATACATAAAACATAAACCCTGCAAAGGCTAGGGGCTTCCATTAGGCACGATCTTGACACACCTCTCTTTGCTTCTTTCACATCCATATACCTACGCATGCATGCTCATCGGTTAATGATACTTTTAATTTGGCCCGTCCTCAATATATCACCAATTTGATCGATAAACTTCCTAGGACGTTCCTTGCCGACTCTGACACTTAAGTACATCTGCAGCATAAAAATTCCTTTTTCTCTCGTTCCTTATTCATTCCTTCTATAAACCATCGAAGCATATGGATAGAGACACAAATAGTGTTCCTTAACTTGTTTCTTAAACACTGGATTAAACTCTGGTATTTCACATCTAACCGTTGCTTTCAAAAATGTACGCAGAACTTAAATGGATGAAACAAACGAAACTTCTGATGTTGGGCTCCCAGTTGGGCCTTTTTCTTGCTACCATCCATTTATTTGCCTATTCACGGATTTTCGGAAATCTAAAGTTAAATTATTATTATTTTAACCGTATTTACTTTTATTATGTATCAATAAAAATATTCAAAAGTTTTATTTAGGACATTAATTCATATGGGCTAGGAACACAAAGGATCTTAACTTCTATTTAATGCTATATTTAAATAAAAATAATTTTACGGATTTTAATTTTTAATCTGGAGGTAGCTGCGGTTAACTATGACATTGGGACGTCATAAGCCTCAGTCCCCCCCGTGACCATGGGTGCTGTAAAGTGCCCGAAACGTCGGGAATATAAAATAAGTTAATATACGCGATAAAATCCGTAAAATTAGTTTTATTTATATGTGTAGTGTTCGCGTAAATATAAGAAATCATTCTAATGCTATAATTATATTAAAATTATTACGAAAGAAATCATGTTATTAAAAATATTCGAGTACAACGTGTCAGCACTAGCTCTAATTTGGGGAAACCGGAAGCGCGATGTGCGGGGCACGTGCTGTGTCGCCCCGACCACGCGTATTCTGTTGCACCCTTTAATACCCTGAGTCATTTTGGTAAAATCCTTCCATCAATGTTGAGAGAAGTATAAATTTGTGTTTTATTGAAATATTACATACCGATGAAAAGAAATATCATTGTTCTTTTTAATTTGCCTCCGTAAATCGTTTTTACAGCTTGGCACTGCACATTTCAACATAGTAACTTGAAATAAATATCGTCGAGAGAAACAATTGATGCGCCTGACCTTTCATGACTAATAACGTCGCCCTTGCCATTTCGAGACTGTTCGCTGTTCGTACCCGTGCTTATTGTTCATCCTCGACAATGCGCGCTCTACTTGTTTATTATAAATACTCATCATCATCATCATCATTACAGCCTTTCATAAGTCCACTGCTGAACATAGGCCTCCCCCAAGGAATGCCACAAAGCACGGTCCTGAGCTACCTGCATCCATCGACTTCCTGCATGCCTTACCAGGTCGTCACTCCATCTCGTGGGGGGTAGTCCTACACTTCGCCTACCGGTACGAGGCTGCCACTCGAGAACCTTTCTTCCCCATCGGTTGTCGGTTCTTCGAGCTATATGCCCGGCCCACTGCCACTTCAGCTTACTAATCCGTTGGGCTATGTCGGTTACTCTAGTTCTACTGCGGATATCCTCATTTCTAAGTTTATCACGCAGAGAAACTCCGAGCATAGCCCTTTCCATAGCTCGCTGAGCGACCTTGAGCTTCCTCATACGGCCAGCTGTGAAGGACCACGTCTCAGTTCCGTAAGTCATCACTGGCAACACGCACTGGTCGTACAATTTCGTTTTAAGGTTTTGAGGTATGTCTGACGAGAAAATGTGTCGTAGCTTCCCGAACGCTGCCCAGCCGAGTTGAATCCGTCGATTGACCTCTCGGTCGAAGTTGGACTTACCTAGTCGGACTATTTGTCCCAGGTAAACATACTCATCAACAACTTCGAGCTTAGTGCTCCCAACAACTACCGGCATAGGTGTGACATGGACATTAAACATGATCTTTGTTTTGTACATGTTCATCTTAAGACCTCTCCGTTGGGAGACACTATTGAGGTCATTGAGCATAGTGCTTAGGTCCTCCAGCGATTCTGCCATAAGGACTATATCGTCGGCAAATCGAAGGTGAGTGATGTACTCGCCATTGATGTTGATATCGTATCCTTTCCAGTCCAGAAGCTTGAAAACGTCTTCCAATGCAGCGGTGAAGAGTTTCGGGGATATGACGTCACCCTATCTTACACCTCTCTGCAATTGGATAGGTTTCGTACTCTGGTTCTGTACTCGGATAGCCATCGTAGCTCTACTGTACAAACACTTCAACACTTCGATATACCGACAGTCAACTTGGCACCGCTGAAGGGACTGCAGCACCGCCCAAATTATAAATTTATATTATTATAAATTTATAATTTGGGCAAATTATAAATAATTATAAATACTATATGTCTGAAAATACATCGAGTGTTCGTAAAGTTGTTCCGTCGTCAAATTTAGCGGGATATTTCTCAAAGCTTTTCGTCGTAAGATGTCCCAGGCATGCTCGATACGATTTAAGTCAGGTGACTGTGCAGACCAATCCAAAACTTGAATATCGTGGTCTCGGAGAGCGGCCGACTCCAGTCCTGAGGGTGTCGTAGAGGGCTATTACTCCCTGGAGTTCTCCAAACTCGTGTTCTTCGTGAATCCGAATCGAACCCAAACCGGGACTCATCGGTGAACAGCACCAAAGACCATTGTTCGTCACTCCATGGTAAATGCTTCCGAGCCCACGAAAGCCGCCGACCGCGATTGTCACGTTGCAATACTGGAACACGTAGCGGTCTTCGAGCATTTAGATCAACTTCATGCGACATCTATCGCACGGTTTGTTCACTTACTAGCACCAAGTGGTCCTCCTAGAGCCTTTGTAGTAGTTGCATCGCTGTGATAATTGGGTTGTCTTCTGGCGGTCATTTGCAGAAATCGACGCTGTCTCTGCGTAGTAACATGATATGTACCCGTGTGCCGGTCAGCCTCATCATCAGTACTGCGATAACGTGACCACAACCTTGATATCACATTTAGGCTGATATGTAGGGCCTCAGCAGCGACACGTTGAATACCACCATTTTTAACATACCCACGGCTCGTAACATTTCATCTCGACTCAAATGACGACGTGACATTTCTCTTAAAGCTCACACGGCACGTTGAATTAAAAAAAGAAAAACAATCTAATCCCTTTTCATTAATTAATATCAGTAGAACAATTTAAATTTTTCTTGACGTAACGAATAACTAACAATTTTGCTGGGTGCCGTGTTTTGTGTTATATTTTTTTATTAACATTTTTAAATTTTGAAAATAGAATAAAAGAGGTTTCAATTTGTATACAAACTTTATATGGGAACTAAAAAGATTTGAAACTATAAAGTCTTAAATAATTTCGGACTAAGTATATACAAAAAATAATGTATTTTTGAATTATCTCTCTCGAAATATGATCTCTTCCTTGGCAAATGAAAGTGTGAAGCTTATCTCTATTTTCAGAACTTGCAATCATATAGTATACCTTTTTAAAACGAAGTGACAAACGTATTTAGGTACTGTCCATCTGATGGTACAACAAGAAAGGCTACGAGATGCGTAATCGAAAATTTAGAACGTGGTAGAGTCATGCTGCAGTTATTAGTAGTATAGTTGTAGCACGAATGCGTTGGCTCGACCGGAGAAGGATCACGCTCTCACAGCGTAAAATAGCAGCTTAACGCTGCTGTGTTTCGTATGGTGAGTGTAGAGAACCGGAGACGCCATTTACTGGAAATGAGGCATTCCATTTTAGTCCTCACGGATGACAATGCATCTGCATTTTGATTTGTAATAGAGGATAGATGCAGATGCTTATGGGCCACAGCAACCACTTACCATCAGGTGGACTGTGTGCTCGTTTGTCACTCGTATCCTATAAAAAAAAAATCAATGTTTCAAATATACTGGCTCTCTTACCTTCGGCAGTATAAGCTCTATTATTTGGCGGCAGAAATGGTTAAGAAGGTTGTACTAACGTAAAAGAACTTGTAGCCAGAAAAGGAATCCTACCACTCATTAATATTTGAATCAAATGTTTTCAGATATTTTGAAATTTTAATGACATAATTTAAAAAGATACGGCGAGGAGATAGCTTTCATTCCTAGAATGTCGTCCCCTAAAATCTGCCGTTCGGGTTCATGCCCCACCCGTCCGCCCCCTCTCCTAGCTACGCCACAGGCACATTAGGACTGATTGACAGAACGATGTGCACTTGCGCGGGTACGGGGTAGGATGTATAAAGCTTAAACTTATTTAACTGGGGCTAATAATTTGCCGCTCGCCATATGTAACTAATTGGGCTAGGGTGAAGTTATTTGTTACACAATATCACCATATGTGACAAGTTGCGTTGCGTTGGTTTCTAGTATAATGTATATAGGCACATTAATTA